ATCAAAATTCTTAATAAAAAATTACATGTATATAAAAAAGACAGTAGGAATATATCTGCAGCTATCCAAAGCAGATGATTTTGAAGATAAGATAGCAGAAAAAGAAAATACTTCCAGCACTTTGTCATACAATTTTTAGAAAGATGTAATCATTATTCAAACTACTACATTATAGCCCACAGATCAAAGTAATTAGTTTCTATCCCACAAGGAATAGCCACATATATCAGAACATCAAATGCCACAACAAAATAATAAGTCACATGTTATGCACATGAAACTCAAATTTTGGGACATGTTTTACAAATGAAATGCTATTTGAGAGCTAGATTTGGGCCTGAAAGCCATATGAGTAAAGATATATTCCTATCTAGCTGCAGTTGCACTAAATGCTAAGCTAGAATCAGCGTGAATTCTGGTTTACCAGTAATAAGCAGCTTGTTAGCATATGCAATATAATCAGTTCCTTTTGTCTACTTGCGGAAGCAGGGATGGCTAAATTAACATAAAACTTAGGGTGCAAAAGCTCAATTTTATATCCTAACCAGGATCTAATTTGTCCTTCCTTTAATGAGATTTATAAGCCAACATCAATTTCTGCCTTGTTAGAGGAAGACAAATTAGATGTCTGAATGCAAAGCAAAGTTTTCTTACCCTGCTGATCTTCTAGTTGCTTGTACATGCCTGCAGGAAGATGCAAGTGGGAATGATCAGGTACTGATAAGCCAGAATTCCCAAAAATTCTGGTTTAGCATTTATGGGACTATGTAGATCTCCAATATCAAGTAAACATATAAAAACCAGTATACCGCATTTTCAATCAATTTATAGCAAAGGTATCAGCTTCCTAATCCTTTTTCTTGTTATGTATTGTTATATACATTCATACTTTCCCCCATATCCTCAGTCCTGAACAAAGAGATTTATTTCATCTTTACCTGACTTCAGAATAATTACCTTAGCTTCAATTTGCCTATAACAAGAGACCCCATATATCGTGCTTCGATCTCCACTTCTTGGTGGCAAATGGAAAAACACTGTGTCTGAAAGAAAAGATGAGAGATTGTCTTGCCATCCCTTACAAGCATTGCATTGAGACATGAAGTTTCTTCAGGACTATAATTTTCCAGATCATCCTAAAAACTAAATTTCAGATCAATGTAACATAATCAGGAAAAAAATGAAACTTTGCAGTTTGGTAGTAGAGAGGGGCACATGGTTATTCTGAACAGCATGAAAAACCCGCCCAAGCAGTTTTACTGTCCTAGAAAATAAGTGATTTTAATCACTTCCTGATTTTATTTTATTTTTTTGGATGGTGGTAAAGAAGCATTTTGGGCAACAGAGAGGATTCTTCCGGTTAAGAGTTTCCATATTTGCAGCACTAGTGAGCTGCTCCCAAAGAACTGTCTGGTTAGCTCAAATCAGTATACACAATTTCAGCACCACCAATGTTTTTTGACACTCAATTCCCTTATGGTTGCTCACTCATGACGCCGCTAAAGACAGTAGAAAGCTTCTACTTTTTTTCTAAGAGGTTGTTATTTAAATTATAGTTATGGACTAGCTTCACACTAAGCCATTAATATGATTTGTAGGATTTCACTTAGCATGATTTGAGAACCCAGCCATTTTGATTTGTAAACCATAGTTAATGGTTTAGGGTAATGTATGAACCCAGTCAGTACTGGGTTAGGGTAGGGTTAGCCATGACATCAACTTAGATAATCAATAATGGAATACTTGACTGTATCATACATTAAGCATAAGGTCAAATCTGGCATTTTAAAACTTGCTGTCAGGATTCTAATTGCCAAATTTAAGACAAAATAGTCTCAAGGAGCATATGATGCACGGCTCTTCAAACCATGAAAATATCGAGATCTTTTGCAAGGCTTGTGTTGCTGCATCAGACTTCCCAGCTATCTTCACATACAACCAAATACCTAGTTGTTTTCTTTCTTCCTGCATATTGCAAAACTTCTAGTTCAACTGCTTCACGCAGCCTTTCAAGCCAGGTAGAGAAGTGTGTGGCATCTGGATACAAAGTGGGCAAAAGTGCTTCATATTCAATGTGGACACCCTCTCTGTCCCTGTCAGCAGTTCCTTAAAGGAACTGGGGTTTTTCACGGTAGCCAGATGGGCTCAGGAAATGCTTTTTTTGCTGAGCCTGCGTAACTACTGGGCAACCTAGAAAAAATGCAGTTCCTTTAAGATACAGAAAGGGTACCTACACCTGATCCAAAGCATCTTTGCTTCCTCCAGATTGAAATACTACATATTTTTAGTAGAAAGCCTAGTGGGAATTATGAAGATATTTTGCTGTGGGCTACTTCCACAGCTGGTTGAGATGGGAACCTTAAACCAATTTTCCTTACTATATCTCAAGCTGTTCCTTTATGCAATCAATTACTGTGCGTATTATTAACAAAATACATTAAACAAATAGGCTGAATGGTAGCCTCATACGGAGAAGAACTGCCTCACAGCAGTCAAGGAATTAGACCTGAAAGTATAACATATCCTTTTTCTTTTACCAAAACTATGCACTAATGGCTTATTGTTATAGCAGTAGAATGACTGTAATTATGCTTTGATTTTGGTCTGTGTTATTTAGGAATTTTGACATTGTATAAATCCTGTACACAATTTGCTTATAGCAGATATCTTCCATAATTTATTCTGCTATGCACAGCCATTGCAAACCATAAACACTAGAAATGTAAATGTATTTTTTTTAAAAACTGAAGCCCAAATCAGATATTACTTGAATTACATTTTAAGGAACAGTACCTTACCCCTCAATTAAGCACCCTTCCTCCACCTGCAAGAGGCATTTAAAAAAGTTTCCATCGGTACCAACAGGACCTTTCTTTCTACAGCAAAAGGAAGGGAAACTTTGTTAAGATTGTGGCTGGGAAACACATAGTATTGATTTTTTAAAAAGGTATGCTTGGCAGTTAACCATATAAAGAAAGGTCTAGTTTGGCCTTGCTGTGCTGACAGCATCAAATTCTTCACCCAATATCAAATTCCAGACTCTTTAGACATTTATAGAAAAGGAGCATTATGTGGGTTCTTACCTTCTTGATAGTTGTGAGCACCATCTGGCAATGCAAGAAAAGGCAAGTATTTCCATTCCTCTGGCAAACTATTACTATCATGACTTTCTCCAGGAATTAGAGGAGGATAGGAGAACTCAACCTGAAAGCAGACGTACATTACATGAGCTTGTACTCAAGAATACAAGAGTACTTCACCAAATCCATAGCCAGTCATCAGGTGTCCAAATATAAAACTGTTAAGTAATCCCATTGTTGCTTCAAGGAACAGGTATAGAGATAGAAAATCCCAAGCAGCATATCAAATTTAGCAAAAAAAATCAGATGGAAAAAAAAAAGCTGAGTTCTATTCACACAGAGAACAAATAAACAGATCAGTAGGTTAATAACTGTCACATTAACATTGAATAAAATAATTCTCAAAAACTGATATATATAATTTGCTTAATACCATCCATGTAGCAGCATTTTATAAATAATGACAAGATATGCTCTCCTTAGCTTCATTCTTCCAGGAGTGAGAACACTGTAGAACAAATAGGATACAAAGCTCCACAAATCTTTGCTTATTTTACCATTCCCTCCCATAAGAATGCTAAATAAATCCTCACCACTGCTTGCAACTCCAAATAGTAACAGTGGAACATAGACACATCTAAAAGATACATCACCCAGTATGGGAAACCATTTCAGGCAAGCACCACATTTTAAGGCATGTCCAAAATCCCAGTTCTATAAGAATCTTACATACAACTTGTGCACATGTACAAATATCTTCATTAGACCCCAATTCAGCATCTGTCTGTCTGTCTGTCCAAAAACTGCAGTAAGCAAATGCCTCCATTTAAACCCTGAACATTATAAAATTGATTAAGATAAAATTAAATCTGCCTCAGATTCATTGTAAAGCATAAAATTGTCCATCTGCACAGGTGGTGTTTAGAATGGTTAATCCAATGATTCAGAGCACCATCACACTACAACAAACATAAAGCCAACATACTGTGTTTAAAACAGAGACAAAACATTGCTTCCGTGACAGTGTTTTTCCTCAGCAAATGTCTGGCAAAAAGAACAGCTCTGGTGGATCAGGCCAAGGCCCATCTTAGTCTTTCACAGTAACCAGATGCTTCCAGGATGCTCACAAGCAGAAGACAGAGACATGTACCTATCCCACTGCTCTTCCCTTGCAACTGGTATTTGGCAACTGCCCTCCACCCATAGGAAGCTGAATTTCCAAGACAATAGTTCTTGACACAGCTGTCCCCATGGATTTATTAAACCCCTTTTAAAGTCATCCAAGTCAGTTGCTATTATTCATTTCTTAAGATAATGTACCAAAAAGTGCTTTCTTTTTCTGTTTTAAATCTCCTTCCAATCATCTTCAGTGAATGGATCTTGATCCTAATATTTTGAAAGAGGGAGAAAAATTTCCACATGTCCATTCTCTCCATGCCATGTCTAATTTTATAAACCTTGATTATTTCAATTGCCTTTTTCAAAGCTAAAGAGTTTAAAACACGCCTTTTAACCCCCTAATCATTTTGGTTGCCTCTCATGCACTTTCAGTTCTATCTTATTCTTTTTCAAATATGGAGATCAGAACTACAGCCAGTATTCCAGATTTGCACAAATTAGAACGTTGAGAGTTTTATTTTCAATCACTTTCCTAATTATTCCCACCAGGGAATCTGCCTTTTTCACAGCTGTTGAACAATGAGTTGACACACTATGACCTGAAGGTCATTATCCTATGTACCGACAGCACAGATCCCACCAATGTATATGTGAAGGGTTTGAGGTGGGAGAGATTGCGCCAGTGTTAGGTATCACAAACAGTAGGTTCACTGCCAGAGGACTGGAAGGTAACCATATCTGAGGGACAATTTTTATCTTTTTGCTATGAGGTCACATTTGAGTTATTTAAGAATTTTGGAGTAGGTACCATGAGGACCTGGTGATTTGTTCCTGTGTAGTTTCTCAAAAGAGCTTAGAATATCTTTTCTTACAATGCAATTATTTATATACAAATACATATGCTGCTCACTCCAATAAGTCTAAACATCTTAAAATACATAAACAATCATCTAAAACAATTGAACTAAATGTTAAATACCTCTAAAACATTATAAAACTAAAGACTGGATAAGAAGGTAGGTTTTAAGCCTGCTCCTAACCTACATGGAAGGGGCCTGCCTCAATTCCAACAACAAGATATTCCACAGTATGGAACCACCACAGGGGGAAAAAAAAGAATCTACAGTTTAAGTTGTATATACCTATGTCAGAATATTAAAAAGATGCCCCACTGAGGGACCTAACTGTGCAGGATAAATTGTATTTGGATAGGCCATACTGCAAGTAGTTTGGGTCTAATCTTGTAAGACTTTACACACCAAAATAAGATACCTAAACAGCGCTTAGAAAGCAACTGGTAGCTAATGTAACTGTTTTCAAAAAGGGGAGATACAATTTCTCCTGGAAGTCCTACTCACCACTCATGCCACTGGGTTCTGGACTAGCTGCAGTTTCTAGACTATCTTCCAGGACCACCCCATGAAGAACACCTTGCAGTAATCCAATCTTGAGATTACCAGCACATGTATCACTGAAGCTTATGGTCTCTCTCCATCAAGTAGGGGCACAGCTGGTTGATCAGCTGATAAAAGGCTTCTCCGGTTGCTATTTGGTTGTTTAGTACCTGTGCTGAATCCGGGAGAATCCCCAGATTATAAACCTGTTCCTTAAAGTGAGTGCAACCCTATCCAAGGCAGGCATATTACCAAATCCTGGAGTCTGGTCCCAGAAACGAGCAACAACTCCATCTTGTCCAATTCTTACAAGAAGGCACAGTACTGTATATAATTCTCTGTGCAATGTCAACTTGCTGTTGTAGCTGACATGAACATCACAAATAACAGGAATTACCCAGAAGCCAGAATGATGCTAAGTAAATTGCAAAAGCAACTTTAGACCTAGAAGAGGTTAAACTGAATTTGAGAAACCAAGCATTTCATATTTTTGTCTTTGCAAGAGCCACGGCCTGGACTCGCTCATTGAAGAAAAAAAATTCTATATCTTTAGGAAGTGATGAATCTAAGGTAAAAGGAAAAGGTTGAAAGAGCATTTTTTAAAAAATGCATGAAGCATTATATCAACCTTTTTGTTATGGTAACCCACACCCAAAATTTTTAGTGCATTTGGAAAAACAGATGTCACAGATTAAACCAGTTATACTGAAGTAGTACACTTAACCTGACATGTCTGAACGGACCTGACATTACCTGAGGGACTGTCTCACCCAGTCAGGCAGACAGGGCATGGTGTGGACCCCGTCACTGAGAGAATGTTGGCTGGCGGGGCCCAGGAGGAGAGCCTTCTCTGCCGTTGCCCCCACCCTTTGGAATATTCTCCCCCCAGGCATGCAGCAGGCCCCTACCCTTCCAGCTATCCAGAAAGGATTAAAGACTTGGCTGTGCCAGCTTATGTGGGGTGACAAGAATCTTACCCAACCCTGGGGGTACGTGGCACCTTGATGACACTCCCTGAGTTACTGCCAATTTAACATCTATCCTTGGATTATATTTATTTTCTATTTATTTAGGATTATTTTAAATTGTAATTTTAATTGATTTTAACTGCTTTGTAAACTGCCCAGTCATTTTTTAACGAGATGGGCGATGACAAATTTAATAAATAAATAAATGTCTGATAAAACAAGATAATTAAGTACAGTATATCTAAAGAATTATCTCTATTTCAAGAGATATCTCTGAAGATATCTCTGTTTCAAAGCAATAACTATAAATATTTATATAGACAGAACTGGATAGCTTATGGCCAAATATAAAACTGAAAGTATTTGGATTTTACTTTCTAGTTAATATGATGAGGACTGCTGCTTTAAATTGATTTGTGCTATTTCATTTTCCTAAATTATTTCATCCATGTTTGTCCATTCACTTTTTAGCTTCAAGGTGAATATTTAAGCTAACAGGCAGGTATTATTTGATAATACTTAGAAAGTGTTCTGCCATTTCTCTTTAACCCTATCTGAAAATGAGCACTTTGGCTCTTTGCCAACTCAGAAAACATTCTATTATTATTCCCATTTCTTCAATTTAAAATGTTAAAGTACTGTATAACACATAAAATGAATGATTTCTTCTATATGGATGAAGTCTTATAATGCCACCCTCAGTTTCACTTTTCAAAACAAAGAACTATTTTTTTTAATTGTTTGAAGAGCGTTAAACCCAGCTTCATGTAATTATTGACAAAGCATGAAGCTTTAAATCTGATGACTCCAATATACGTGTGCAGTAAAATGCCATGCATG